CTTGGTCAAAAGCTTCATTCTCCGAGGGCACTCCAAGTCTCTTGTAGTGTCCTGCTAGAACTTCCCTTTTTCCCTTCCCACTGCTGACTAATCCACCGTTCACACCTCGCAAAGTTGCGACCCCTGTATCCTCCCCTTGCGCGGTCTTTTTGACCATTCCACTAATCCCTTCCCACATGTGCTTGACGTTCCCCTCCAGGCCTCCGTTGGCCTTTTGCACTACTTCGTCCCAAATACACTTTTTCTTCTTTTTCACCAGTCCCTTCACCTGTATTCTCTTGGCCCTGTATTTTTCCCCAACTCTCCTCAGCCGGGTCACTCAGGTACTGCTTGAAGACTTCTCTACGTTCCCCTATTTCTTCTTTCAGCTCGTCATCCCACCACTTAACCGATACCCCACATCGTGCCACCTTATTTCCCACTACTCTCTTTGCCGTTCCGTTCACGATGGGCTCCCACCCTTCAATCACCCTGTCCCCTTCCAAGAACCATGCGGTGGGAGGGTTGTGTACCATGTTTCTAGCCGCAGTACCAGCCGAGCAGAGTGCTTTCGTGGATCAAGGTTAATTTGTTATTGTGATGTCTTCTTTTATTCGTTCTGCTGTGTTTTGCTTCATGAATCAGGGGGAGGAAATGTGTTGTCATGGTTTCAGACGCAACACCGGCGAATGCGTTCAATGTATGCATGTTTTTCTTTATGCATGCGGGGCAAGTTTCGGCTGGGGGGCTGTTTCGTGCACTTTGATGTTTTGAGATCCTCTGTTGATTGAAGAGGAAAGGAAGAAAGCGCAGGCAGATCTTCATATGTGTTTCGGGGAGGTGTTCCAGCTGGGTGCTGTTGCCTATTGCTATTGATATTGATGTCGTAGTCTTATGCCAAAACTATTATAGTGAGAGGAGGGAGGCCAAGATTTGTGAGATGTTGCAGCACGGGGGCTGTTCGCATTTTTTGTTCTGTCGTTTACTGGACAACAGCGGTGGCACCGATTCTCATGTGCGCGCTGTTTAGAATCTGGTCCTTCGACACTGTACTGGAGGAAGGGTGTGACATCTTTGGACGAGTAATGGTTGGGGTCCCCGTACTTTCCGAATGCTCGTTTTGACAGGGGGCCCTCCAAGTGGAAACCATGGAANGGGGGGGGGGGGGGGGGGGGGGGGGGGGGGAGAGGCCTTATATGTTCCCGAAAGGCCGGAGGGGACATCTTGACGAAATCCCCGGAGTTTCCAACATTTTTCGCGCGCTTTTTCAGCGCGCGCACACGCGCGCGCACCGGATCCCACGCAGAGCTAGTGGAATTTGGGGAACACCCCCTGGTTACGCTTCACTCTTGGTCACGATGGGGGGAGGATATAGTATGACCATGCCAAAAGCCTACACTATGAAAAATATTTATGAGTTGTAGGATGCGGCACGAAATAGATTGTCCACGAAGGACATCAAGATCGTACATGGTATCAAGCAGGGGGCTGTTTGGGTATTTGGATACAAGACCCGACCTGCAGAGGACGTGTGTGGGGGGGGTACGGTGTTGGGGGTCCACGTGCGAGGCCCCTAGAGAGAGGGCATGCACAAGTGTTCGCTGCTGTATCATATCCATCTCTATGCCTGACTGTGCTGGAAGGAGCACGAGTGTGTGATGATCAAGGTTCATGTCATCTGCATCGGTCCTGGGTGAACTTAGTCCCCACACACACTCCAAACTGGTGGGCACGGTAGCCCCCGTGGGAAGGCACAGGGGCCACAGACAAACAGCACTATGCAGCAAACTGCCAGCTGTACTTAGTCCTCGATGCATTGATTTTGTCCGAGCTACTCAATGGTACCAAGGTACAATGTGAGAGGCATAATACGTGTCCTTGATGTGTACGGGTGGTATATACGAAGACGAATATGGCACGCATGTTTGAAACTGAATGTGCTGCTGGGTCTTTGATGTGACGTTGCAGGCGAGGGTGGCCAGAAGAAAGACAGCACCAGTTCTGAAGACATCGCAGTGCCAACGCCAGCTTTGCTGTACACGGGTACAACAAGCAATCCGAACTTCCACCTGCCCTCCATCGACGAGGCTGCGGATACCATTGCTTCGGCGGTTGGGCCTTCGGGACCCAACCATGAGTATCTCTTCTCCCTCTCTCAATACCTTGAGAAGGTAAGCTCGTGGTGGCGATGGTTGGGATGTGGGGATGTTGGCTCTTTCGCCGTGGGCTAATCGGGACGGCCTTCCGTTGTGTGTGCGTCACATGTCTGTCTGCTTGTCGGCGTCCGCACGTCCTCTCTATGTTGCCGTTGTTGAGAACTGTGCGCGTTTTGGTCCAAGACGTGAACACTGCGGATCAACGCGTTATTTTTGGCAGGTGAAGCAAGAATGGATCGAGAACGTCATGAGTGGTCGTTACTACAGATAGGGCCCGGAGATAAGAAACGTCAAAATCGGGTCGAGCCTCAATTTCTTATTCTGGGCAGATGTATCAGCTGAAGTCGGTCAATTTCTGAACACGGATTTCTTATTCCTCTGGGCTATCGCATCATGTTGATTCTCTTGTTCCTGCTGTATTTTCTTATTTTTGATGCCGAAGAAAACGACACACCAAAAGCCTTCTTGCATGCCGTAGTCGTTAGACCATTGACCTCGCATCCCTACAAAGCCGGGACGGAGCACGCCGGGTTCTCACCGGACCAGGCTCTCACATCACCAAGCGCGAAGCGCCGTGAGATATTCGGCGAGTCGCATGAAGGGTGNGGTTCTCACCGGACCAGGCTCTCACATCACCAAGCGCGAAGCGCCGTGAGATATTCGGCGAGTCGCATGAAGGGTGCGCTGCATCCTGCTAAGGGTGTTCGGCATGTTGTGCTTACTTGCTTGCGTACGGATGACAGCTGTGCATGACTTAATTTATTTTCTGGTGCTTTCACTTCCAGAGACAGTTGTAAGCACTGTGTAACTGCCTCGAGGGTGCTTGACCATTTTAACACAACGTGGTGCGATCATCCCCCTTGCGCGGAGTGAGGGTTCTCCACCCCGCACAACATGATCTACTCGACCACCATTCTGGTTACCGCCAAAAAAAAAACAGAGATAAAAAAAAAAAAACGTAACCTGGTTGCCGAGTTCACG